GAGATTGAAACTAAATATTTTTTTGTTTCGAAGTTGAAATCAAGGCATATTCACTGCCAAAAGTCAGTTAAAAATTTTCCATATTATTCGTTATATCTTATTTTATTCAAAGTTTTTGGTCAATTCCAAATTTTCTCTCAAACCGTATACTTTTTCTTGTGTATAGATAGTATTTATTTACCTCATGATATGCTGCAAAACCTAATTAATCACGAATTTCTAATTTTATGTACTCTTGTCTCCGATTGTACCTCCCAAACATCCTTAAGGCTTTTCAAAATAAGGAACATGTTAAAAACAATTAGCCAAAGACAAATAAAAATTAATATTCAAGAAAAAGCAAAATAGGTAATTGCATTTTGTATAGTTAAAAATGTTTTTTCAAACAATATAACAGAAATAATTTAATGTTGATAAATATAAATAGCAACGTTGTTTAAATGAAGGTCACTGCTGTTTCTTGAATATAGAATATTTAAATCGCGTTTTGCAGTCGATCCTTAGCGATGTGTGGTCGATACGTAACTATGCCTCGAAGACTATTTGTCTTGAACTATCGTACAATCGAAACTGTCAGTTCGATATCTCTTTTTGTAACCGCAACCAGTTGTTATATCAGATGTTAGCTTGTGATTTTTAATTAGAATTGTTAATTGGAAGTTGACCTACCTTTCCTCGCGGCATCATAATATATTTAAAAGGGGCTACGTACAGTGCTTTTTGAGTTGTGTAGGGAAGGATTTAATGTTATTTAAGATAATAGAATAAATTCCAACTTATCAGATTGAATTTACTTTTAATTGCGATGGAAGTTATTTTAATCTAAAATAAAAACACTGTTAATAGTTAGCACAGATTTTTATTGTTTTAATTATACTAGCTAATATTATAAATACTGATGTGAGTTTATTTAACTACTGAACCGATCATCATGAATTTTGTACACACCACAGAAAAAAAAATACAACGTGTAATTATACAACACGGTACTGAAGTGAAACTTCTTCAAACACACAACCGTACCGGGATAGGGGTTAAGGAATTGTTTTGATGGTCTTATTTATATACTATGCTTCGCACGGGTGCAAAGCTGATAGTAAATATACTATAGAATGTCTTTATATACAACATTCACAGCTTTTTTGTCATTAGACAATACAAACTGGCCGGTACCGCCGCAATTGCTAAAGTCCCTTCATTTTAAGTCTGTAATATCTTCGAAAATATTAATTTAAATTACATGCTGTAAAGGGCCATATTGATCTATATTAAATGCACAATGTATTTAAAAGTACTAAATTGGATAAAGATTAATGCTGTATTGCTTATATTAAGCCATTATTTCTCGTAAAAAGTAAAGGATAAAAAATGGTTATTGTGGGTTATTTCTAAGAAATAGACATATACCATCAAGGACTTTTTGTAGACCTTTTTAAAGTGTACAATATTGTAGTATACTATTTTGATCTATCTCGTAGGGTTCAGCCAGCGTTTGCAATGTAAGCGCAAATAAATGTGTTTATTTACGACATCACATTACAAATCTCTAAAATTATCAGTGTTTCTCTGCTATATTATGCATGTATTATACATATAAATCTTCCTCTTGAATTACTCTATTTATTAAAAAAAAAACGCATTAAAATCCGTTGGATACTTTTAAAGATCTAAGCATACATAGGGACAAACAGTGGGGGAAATGCGTTGCATAATTTCGTTACATAGCTCGCAGGAAACGAACCTACCCTACCGTGCGTAAATAAGTTTCACTTCAAAAAAATACTGTTTCCAACAGGTAGAGAAATTAGTCTTAGTCTTATGTTGTCTTCCATGATTTTTGATATGTATTTAGGACATCCTCGTTAGGGATACCGCCATATAAACTCCTAAAGATGTCCTAACAATAAAGGGAAATGTACACAGAACGTTAACAAAAAACTAACTGCGAAATTGTGTTCCATGTGTCTTTACTTTTTTGTTTATTCTTTTTTGTTGTTTCAATGTTTCGAATGCACGTCAATCAGCCATATCCAAAAACACTACTCTAGACAGTATGTTTCCTTGAACATTTTTTATTTTTAGCAATTCTTAAACCATCAACTGTTTAATTATTTATCAGTCAGCGTTGTTACATGCTCTAAACTTTTTCACTTTCGCGTCCAACATATGCTGCACAATGTACTTAGTGACATACGTTGGTGTTCTTGTGTTATGAACGTCGCGCTGCCAGAGTGATATTAGCAATTTTCAATACTTCTTTAAGACGCATGATGGAATGTTGTTAACTTTTTGTATATATCAGTTAAATCTGCAGACATACTGTCGATGTAAAATTCAATAAGTGAATGTGTTGCACATTATGTAATACCCCCGTACATGAACCGAGAATTTTTCCTACAAAAGTTTATCACTTTAATAGTTATAAGGATAACAGATAGGATTTAACTTTTAGAAGAATTAAGCGATTTTGTAAAATGGTAACTTTTTTCTGTTTGCATGTCCTTAATTCTTTCAGTAAAAATGTCGGTTTTACTAAAACTTTGTTAATGATAAGTTAGATCTTATCATATTATTTATTTTTAATTAATCCTTGATTATAATATATCATACACTCAAATTAATTATTCTTTTTGATCATATGTATATAAAAGTTTTTATATGTGCTTATCTTCAAATGTTGTTAAAATCATAATTGTTCAATTTGGAAAGCTTTGTTGGATTTATATAATTAGGCAAATATTGCAATTTTGCTTAAGGATGTTTGGGAGGTATGTCAGAATGCTACGAGACAAATAAAAATTTGGAAGAA